AGGAATCTGTATGTTTCTTACCTTTCTGCCTCTCGTGATGTGAGCACCTTGCTCTGCTAAGTGTCCACTGAAGAAAGAGCCATTTCTCCTAAAGCTGGAAGAACGTGAGGCCCCTGTGGGTTGCATTGCAATCAGATATGTTGGACTTACTGTGGCATATCTTCCTGAGGAATTTTCTAGGAAATTTTGACTATACTTGGTGCATACACACATACACACACACACACACACACACCCCTCAGAAAATGTGCCTGTACTGTTCAATAACTTACATATTAAACTAGGAGCCAGGGATCTGGGATCACTGACCAGTGGCAGTGGCCACTCGTAATGTCTTTGTTGCACTTCCCAGCCTCATGGCCATAGTGCCCTGCATGGGTAGGAGCTCCCCTCCCTGAGAGGTATTAGCACTTTAGTGAGCTCCAAAAGTCTCGTCAGTTAGCTCCCTAACTAGGTACCAGTGAAGATGCACTTCTTGCTAGCATTTTGCAATTGTTTTATCCACTCATGCGAGGTTCTGTGTAGGGACAACCCATGTAAGCCCACTGTTTTAGCTACTATGGCTGCATTAAAATCACCACAAACTTAGTGATTTAAAAGAACTATTTAGGATATTTGTGGATCTGTAGATCAGAAGTTGGGGTGGGGCACAGTGAGGAGGGTGTCTCTGCTCCACAATGTCTGGGTGTTAGCTGAATGACTTGAAGACAGGGGCTGGGACCATCTGAAGGTTCGGTCCTTCCCAAGTCTGGCTATTGACTAGGGCTTTCGCTGAGGCTCTCATCCAGATGTCTATAAACAGCCCGTCCATAGCTTGGGCTTCCTCACAACATGGAGGCTGGGTCCCAGGGTGGGTGATCTAAAAAGATATGTCACCTTTTATGACCTGACTTTGCAAGTCAGGCAGTGTCACCTTCACTATGTTCTATACATTGAAGGAATTTCAAGGGCCATCCAGGTTTAATAGGAGAAGTAATAAACTCTGTTTCTTGATGGTGGAGAGGCAATGTTCCAGAAAAGTGTGTTGCTATGACCACAGCTACACTCTGCCATACCTGGGCATGGTATGGAAATGGCCAAGGAAGTTTTGCCTAGTCCCTGATTTATGGGCTAGTAGGCAGGACCTGGGTAACTTTGCACAGCTGATACCCATGGTTCTTTTTTTCTTTTCTTTTTTCTTTTTTTTTTTTTTGAGACGGAGTCTTCTCTGTTGCTAGGCCAGAGTGCAGTGGTGCGATCTTGGCTCACTGCAACCTCCACCTCCTGGGTTGAAGCAATTTTCCTACCTCAGCCTTCTGAGTAGCCAGGACTACAGGTGTGAGCCACCACACCCAGCTAATTTTTGTATTATTAGCAGAGACAGGGTCTCACCGTGTTGGCCAGGATGGTCTCTCTTGACCTTGTGATCCGCCTGCTGGGATTACAAGCATGAGCCACCACACCCAGCCGATACCCATAGTTCTGATCCCACACTGCTCTCTCTGGACAGACAGATTTCTTTGGACAGAACAGAATTTTTCATCAGATTGATAGAAACATATTAATCTACTCTCTCATCAGCTGTCAATTGTCAGTTTAGGTCTAAACTAATTCTATTCCCAAGATTCCAAGTGAGAGCCTTATAGTAAAGTAATACATCTCTTAAGTCATATCCACCTGGTTCACGTTCAATATCCTCTCAGTTCAGAATCACAAGCTGTCAGACCAACAAGTAGTGGTTCCTGCACAAGCCTGAGAGAGATCCTGTAACTGCCTTGGAAAACCAGCCCCACAAAAGAATGCCAGTCAGATCTTCTGTTAGCTAACAAGGTGACTTGAGCTCTCTGAATTGTTCCCTTATGCTATATTCTTTGTTTTTTAATCTCTAAAAAAACTAAAAAAAATTCAGGTAAATTTCTTCCTTTTTCGTTATGGTTTGAATTAGGGTTTTTGGTAACTTTTTTCCAAATTTTAGAGATGTTAAAGGTTCAGGCAAGTATAAAGAAGAAAATAAAAATTTCCTGTAATACTGCCCCATAAAATAATAATTATAAATATTTTAATGCTTTGCCTATTTGAGTTAGTTCATCATCATTAAATGCTCTTTTATTAAAAATGACTTTAGTGGCTAAATTCAAATCTAATGTACCAGAACTTATTTTAACTATTCCCTTTATTGTTGGACAGTTATTTCCTCTTTCCCATACTTTTAATGCCATCATTTTTGCATGAAAAATCTTTTATTTCTATTTGACATATATGTGATAGGCATTCTTCCATGCTTATTACAAGAGCTTAATAAAAGTTATTTCAATTTAAATGAACAAATTATTTCTTTTTGATAGATTCCAGGAAGGGAAATTATTGGGTCCTAAGATACGAACAATTTAAAATGCTTGTCATGTGGTCTGAAATTGCTTTCCAAAATTTATGCCATTACTATCAATCTGCACATAATTTAAAAAGGCAAACAAGCAGGAATTATATGTTTGGGGGAGAAATGTAAAACTGTATTTTAAATTTGTTTAATTTAGCTTTGATTTCATATTTGTTGGAGCCGTAAGATGAAGATTGAGTCATTTGATTTCATTTAAGGGTGTTTTAAATTCCTTGGTTTTCTGTTCTGAGTCTATGCTTTTTCTCTCTTTAAGTGTGTTTTCAGTCATATATATTTTCCTGCTAACAGTGTATTTTTCTCCTTCCTGTATGATTTGTGGTTTCATGACTGTCAATCATTTTTTCCCAGATGTTCTTTTTCTTAGTGTCTCATTGATTTCATGTGTGATGACGGTGTTACTCATTATCCAGTTCCTACACTTCCGTGTAATCTTCTACCCTCAATTTCACATCTTTGACTGATAATTTTATTTTGGGATCAGAAAAAAATATATACATATATATATGTATCTGTGATTTTTATATATTTGCTGTGTTCTCACCACTGTTATGGTCAATTTCAAGTAAGCCTTCCTGGGTGCTTCACATTAAAGTTCCTTTAATTGTGTCCATATGTCCCCACAATTGTATGTTATTACCACTAGATTTCTTTTCCATATACACTTACTTGCAGTAAATGTGTATAGCTCATTCTGTAGCTTATAGCTCATTCTTCAATATACTAGACTTCTCTAATATTTACAATAGTTATTTGCAGTTCCCATTAGCACTATTTTATTCTAATGTAGTTGGCCATTGGCATGTAAATTTTAAAGCTAATATAGCAAAAGTCAAATTATATACCTGAATTTAGTTGTTATTTGTGTATCCTGATTATAATATTATATAACGCATCATCTCCAAAGACCTTTTAACGGGACTATTATCGCACACCTGGGCATTTTGATATTATTGTGTGGTATTCACTGTAGCTTTTGTAGTAACCTTGTAGTTTAAGCTGAATACATATCTTAATAGTTTACCTTAGGCCTTTTTTTTTTTTTTTTTTTTTTTTTTTGAGACGGAATCTTGCTCTATTGCGCAGGCTGGAGTGCAGTGTTGCGATCTCGGCTCACTGCAATCTCCGCCTCCTGGGGTCAAGCAATTCTTCTGCTTCAGCCCCTTGAGTAGCTGGGATTACAGGCACCCACCACCATGCCCAGCTAATTTTTGTATTTTTAGTAGAGATGGGGTTTCACCATGTTGGCCAGGCTGGTCTCGAACTCCTGACTTCATGATTCACCCACCTCAGCCTCCCAAAGTGCGGGGATTACAGCTACGAGCCACTGCGTCTGACCTGCACTAATTTTTTAGTGTATCTTCTAAGCTTTTCACTCTTAGTTGAGGAAATACTACCTTTACATTTAAGTTTTAATTCTGAGCTCATTTCTTGCTTCTCCCCCTGCTTTATTCTAAGAACCTCTATCTTCTGTTCTCATTTTCTTAACCTTGTTTATTGTTTTCCTTTACAAGTCTGTGGCCTTCTACATGCCCAGCATTCAACTTGGGGCACTGGGATGAATGATGAACCCATGGCCCTTACCCACAGGGAGCTTACCTCACTTGAGTGGACACAGCACTTATCAGAATGATTGCCCTACAAGGTGAAATTATTATTTGGGGCCTTTGAAGGAAAGGTTGGGTTTCAGAGAAGAATGGGGAAGAATGCATGGGCAAAAAGAACAGCATGAGAGAAGGCAACCAGGTTAGTCTGGCTGGCAAAGCTTAGCTTGCCTTTAGGAGAGTAGAGGGGATACAGCTGAACCATGGGCTTTGTGCCAGGTCATATGAAGGCAGAGTTTAGACTCTGCTCTGTGGTGGTTTTGTGCAGGAAGGTGACATAAAGAAGGCCCTTTTCTGGCTCATAGAAATAAGTTTGAAGGGAAAATGTGAGAGAAGGAAGGAGCTCTAAGACTCAACTGTTCATTCATTAAATCAATCAATACTACCTGCCTGTCATGTGCCAGATACTATGCCAGGGACTCTAGGACCAGCAACAAGCAAGACATCATCATCCTGCTCTTATGGGGCTTAAGCTCCCATGTATGGTGGTGGTAGCAGCAGCTGTATGTGCAATATACACCTCATGGCACTTATATTCTAGCATTCAGGGACTGTGGTCAATGTGTAAACAAATGCTCAGTGCCCTAGTCAATTCCTGTGTCCTTAAAGGAATATTCCCTTTGTCCTTACAGGCTAGCCCAGTTGCTGCTATGACCCCTCTCCCCACTTTTTTTTTAGAATCCCTATTAAATTTTGAATTTGCCCATTGATACAGCTGGAAGATTCAGAGTTTCTGTTTGATAAATCCACTCTGGGACTTGACATACTGGAAGTAGCACTTTGAAATGACCAGACAAGGGAGGTAGCCTGTGGAACTATGTAGACAAAGCTCATTCTTTGGTCATAACTTGAAATCCGTTCACAACTTCTCAAGTTTGATCCCCAGGGGAGACACAGGCCCTAGCACAATTCTGACTGAGGTGCAGAAACTGGGAGAGCTCTTTCCAGGAAGCTTCCCTTTGTGTGCTGTCTGTGTTCACGGCTCTAACCAGTGATCTTGTTTCCCCCACCCCTCTCGCCAGGAATCTTACATCCTTTCTGCAGAACTTGGAGAAAAGTGTGAAGACATAGGCAAGAAGCTATTGTACTTGGAAGATCAACTTCACACAGCAATCCACAGTCACGATGAAGATCTCATTCATATCCTTTTCATCTTGCAGATTAAGCAAGACAAAGTTATTTTATAGAAGAAACTCTTTAAAAGGTAGTTATGCCTCAGAAGATGGCAACAAATAGATGCTGTCGTTATGTATAGTGCAGAGCACCTCAGATCTCTGAGATTATCAGGTATGAAACATTTTCTCTCTAGTTTTCAGTAAGCAATTCAGTATTTTTTTTTCTTTTTTTTTTTTTAGATGGAGTCTCGCTTTTGATGCCCAGGTTGGAGTGCAATGGTGTGATCTCAGCTCACTGCAACCTCCACCTCCTGGGTTCAAGCGATTCTCCTGCCTCAGCCTCCTGAGTAGCTGGGATTACAGGCACCCGCCAGCATGCCTAGCTAATTTTTTTGTATTTTTAGTAGAAACAGGGTTTCACCATGTTTGCCAGGCTGATCTAGAACTCCTGACCTCAAGTCATCCGCCCGCCTTGGCCTCCCAAAGTGCTGGGATTACAGGCTTGAGCCACCACATCCAGCCGCAGTTCAGTATTTTTAATTGCTAAACCCAACCACTAACAATTAAGTTCAGACATGCACACAAGGAAGCCAAAGCAAAATACAGTTTCCAGTGGGTGTAAAGCTGGCTCTGTGTGGCCCTGGTGGAAGAAAACAGTTGACTGGCTCATTTTCCTATGAGCTTTTTCAATACCAAGTGTCCTAAATCCACCTCTGAGTTTCTTTATCTAGCAACTCTACCTAGTAAGGGGCAGTAGAGTAACAAAACAAACAGGACTTTGTATTATTTCCTTTCAACTTCTAACCATGTACACATGGTTGAACTGAATTTAGTCCTTTCTGGTTCCCAGTGATAGAATTTCTTGCACCAGACTTAACATCCTTGGTGTTAACCTATAAACACCTTCCTCAAAACTAGCTGCTAATGAGCAAGATGGCTTGAGAACATACTGGCTTAGGTATGCATCCGTATGAAGCACTCCATTCTATGTTGGTCTGTGGACACAGTTTGTCACTGGTTAGTTCTGCTGAGAGCAAACGAATGGGTACACAGTGGATGAAGGGATATGCAGCCCTATATCCTTTCAGTTATTTAATCACAAGTTGACACTTCTGTAGCCAAAAACACTTCCCTATTCATCTTTCTATTCAGTAGAATGTCTTTTATTAGATGCGTTTGTGGGAAATTTAGCTATTTTGGTCTTTGCTTGTCATTGCTGTCTTACTTTTTAGAATTCCAGTTTTTACCATACTTTATGGGCTGTGTGTGTGTGTGTGTGTGTGTGTGTGTGTGTAAGTAGCTTTGAATGGCCAAGGATTAATCGTAGTCACAAATACTCAGATCTGCGATTTAATGATAGATCCAATGCTATGCTTCCTTCCTTGCTATAACTTTATATTTTTGACCTTGTTTATTAAGCTGAGCAGAAAATTTATTCAACTTAATCAGCAACGATTTTCACATTGCTTTAGGTAAATTTTGAAAAGCAGATATTCTGTTCTTCATAATTTCCTGCCTCTTAAGAATCTTGTATTTAAGCTATTATCAGAAAGTTTCCCAAAGAAACATAGAAACATAGAATAAGGATGGCGTTTTTATTTATTCCATGTTCATGGGGTCACAGATCTTTGAGCACGTCTAAGGTGGTATGGCTCCCAGCAAATGGGCAGATGATGGGGCACAGAGGAGCAACCCACTGCAGAGAGTCCGTGGATATGAAGGAGTTCCCATTCCCCAGCCCAGCAAATGGGCAGTTCCTGAGTAGGACGTACCTCTGTCTTCAGGTAGCAGTTCTGAGGGCTGCAGTCAGGGTTCTGTGCTGGTCTCTTGTTGTGAAATTTTCTAAAAGGTTAGTTTGATTCTGGGGAATTGGATCGTATTTTTACTAGAGCTGGGAGGCAGCTCTAGTAAAGACCCCTGAGAATAAAAGGGGTTAAGCAGTGTTTAAACAAGATCCTTTTAGTTTTTCCACAGCTGATCCAAGCCAGATTTAGTAGCAGTGGGATCATGGATAAGTGATAATGCCTCTTTAAGCATTAGGGTTCCCATCTGTAACATCAGGATAACATACACCTCTAAGGTTTTTATGGGGGTTCAATAAGGCCATATTCACAATGTACGTTTAACGTAGCCATGGGTAAGTACATAATTTTAGGTAGAAAAGTGTTATCCAAGTCCATTTGTCTCACAGTTCTTAGTAAATTAGTCACAAGCTCCAAGAATATCCCATTTATGCACAAAAAGTTTCAAGGTACATTGATTCAACTATTTTGTAATAAATGCTTAAAGGAGTCAATCAGTAGCTCCACAATAGCTTAGATGGAAAGTCATTTAATTCTAATAAAATGTCTATAAATAGATAGGGATTATTATCCCTACTTGACAGTCGAAAAAAACAAGACTTGACAGTCAAAAAATAAGAACGACTTGGCTGGCACAAGGTCTTTTCTGATGACTAGCAGAACTTTCCAGCCACAAGCCCCATGGTCCTATTTGGCCCATCAGAAAGCAGCTATTGCCTATACGTAAATGGACAGGTCTGTTCCATGGAACACACAATTACTTTAAAATTTTAAGCTATAATAAAAGTATTTTACTGATGTTGTTTTTTGAGAATTTCGCTGATCTCTGCTATGATAAGCAGAGAAGCACTGGTTTAGGTACTGAAGTCAGCTCTCTCCCTCCCTCCAATAAAATCTACACCGCAATATGGATTTCAATCCAGACTTTTCTTCAAATTCCAGTCTTTTGTTCTGTCACTGATTGAGAATAAATACACAGAAGGTGTCTTTGAATTCATACAAAGAGGCACTTAAATTTGAGTGGAACATTACACCCTAAGATAGAAAGACATGTTTACATGGCTCTACGGAGGCTCCCCTCCAGAAACAAAAGCCGTTGTTTCAAATTAGAGCTTCTCTAGAGATTCAGAGAGGCTGCCAGAATCCTACAGCCAAACTCTGACTGGTTTATATTTCCATGTTTGATCAAAGATACAATGCTGAGTGTGGCTGAAAGAAACAGCTTGTTGTCAACGATACAGAAGGATTGCACAGTGAGTGCAGTATTTTGTTTGATTCCATTAAGCATGCTGCCAGAGCCTGCTGTGCATGTGAGGTAGAGGCTACCCAATTAATCTAAGTCCACATTGGAATGTGATTCATGTAAGCCCACATTGGACGTCCACGTCTGAAAGACTCAAGCCACAGATGCTACCATGGATGTTTATTCTTTGTGTGGAAAACACTTAGTTTTTGCATAAACCATATGTGTGCATAAGGACTATTAGTGTGGCATCAACAGAGGCTAGGGGTGGGCAGTGGGACTGAGTTTCCAAATAGCTCCTTGTGGCCTCCTGATTTAATATCCGTGTTATGGGCAGCCTACTGGGCGTCTCCTACTTTTATCAAGAAGACACTGATTGACAAATCCAAGGAGGGAGAGGAAACAGCCCGTGCCTCTTCATCATCCTGACAGGCTCACCAAATTACATGTAGCATGACCAAATAACAACACAAACCCATCAGCTACTGTGGCAGCGAGTGTCTGAAAACAGCCTGCACCATTAATTGGGAGAGCTGGCGGTGGAGAGGTGGCTACACCTAGTGCCTGAGAAGGGGACAGGAGGTGTGACTTCACAGCCAATCAAGCTGGGACTTCCAGGAGCATTAGCGTGAATCTCTAGTGCATTTTCACAGTCATCTGGGGTCCTAATTAGCAGTTATGTTTTGAAAAACTTTTTGATTGTGTGCGATGTCTCCTCCATGCTCAAAATATTGTAACCAAAAACCTTCCAAATTAAGGTGGATTTTTAAGCAGGAATTTTCTCATTTTCTTCCTCCTTCAATTTCTACGACACACTTTCAAAGGAAAAGAAGTACACTTGTGATATGTACCTTTTTGGCATATTTCAAAGCCCTCAGGGCAGCTCCGCCTGCCCCTCAGTCATAGACGAGGTAGAGACACTCTGGTTCTATTTGCGGTTGTATTTACATTCACGTCTGGGAAGCCCTTGTGGAATTCTATTTCGCTGCTTATTTGGAGTGCATGGTGCCCAATTGATTAGTTTTGGTGGGGCTCGATGGTGTGCTCTAAATACATCCAGGCTTGTGCGCAAACACCACCGCTCTGTAGGACCCTGGTTTAGTTCAACTTTCAAATTTTTAGCTTGAACAGACAAAGGTAACAGGAATTACGGGAAATTGTCCTGCCTCCTTGGAGATGTTTTCCACTTCTAGAGCTGAGGGGCTGGAAGAGGGATCATGTGGATCATGGAGCTCCACTCATGTAGTTTATAGATTAAAAAATCCAGAGCCTGGCCGGGTGTGGTGGCTTACACCTTAATCCCAGCACTTTGGGAGGCTGAGATGGGTGGATTGCTTGAGACCAGGAGTTCGAGACCAGCCTAGGCAACATGGCAAAACCCTATCTCTATTAAAAATACAAAAATTAACTGGGCGTGATGGTGCACACCTGTAGTCCCAGGTACTCCAGAGACATGAAAATTGCTTGAACTCAGGAGGTGGAGGTCACAGTGAGCTGAGATTGCACACCACTACATTCCACCCTGGGCAACAAAGTAAGACACTGCCAAAGAAGGAGGGTGGGAAGGAAGGAAGGAAAGAAGGAGAGAAGAGGGAGAGAGAGAGAGAGAACAGGAGAGAAGGAAGGAAGGAAGGAAGGAAGGAAGGAAGGAAGGAAGGAAGGAAGGGAGGGAGGGAGGGAGGGAGGGAGGGAGGGGAAAGAAAGAAAAAGAAAGAAAAGAAAGGAAGAAAAAGAAAGAAAGAAAGAGAGAGAGAAGGGAGGGAGGGAGGGAAAGAGGGGAAAGGAAAGGAAAAGGAAAAGAGGAAAGAAAAGGGGAGGGAAGGGAGAGGGAAAGGAGAAGGACGGGAAGGGAGAAGAGACAAGGGAAAAGAGAAGGGAAGGGAAGGGAAAAGGGAAAGAAGGGAAGGGAGAAAAAGGGAAGAAAAGAAGGAAAGGAAAGAAAGAAAGGAAAAGAAAGGAAAGAAAGAAAACCCAGAGCCT